TGGAACAGCAAAAGAATAACACTCCACAAGAGGAAACCACTTAGTCCAACTAAAAAACTTTAGAACACTCCTTCTGCATAAACACTTTCTTTACAAAGAAAGTGATACACAGATTTCAAGGCCACAACCTGTACCTTTCTAATATCAAGTGAAAATCTTTTGCATGAAAAATTTTGTCTTGAACCTGCCATTAAAGGTTTGTTGCCCATTCATTGGTGGGAAACAGTGCATCTTGCAGGGTATTTCTCCTTCATCAGTCCAAGGGAGGAGGCTTTTAGGTAAATACTAGTTAGCTTGCTTCCAGTAGCCAATTCTTCATTTGCAGTCATCTTCATCTGGAAAATGTTGTTTTGCTTTATACCAGGGTTCTTATGGTAGGGAGGAACTGTCAAATGCCTCCCTCTTCACAGGGGGTACTGTCATGCTCTTCTGGGTGGTTTTGTGAGTTCTTGTTAGCTGAGCTGACTTATTTGTGCTCTTTTTAATTTTTCTTTTTCATTCCAGTCTTGCTTGCACTAACTGTTCTTACTAACAGCTTCAAACCTGGGTGCAATAAGCTGCCTCTTTGTCCAGAGCCCTATTTGGTGTCATAATATGGAAAGGCACGGAATACAACTTGGCTATAATGCACAAAGAATAAGAAATAAAGGGAATAGTGCCAAACTCCAGATGATGTTCAATTATAGCTAATTATGAATGAAAGTGCTCACTTTAAAGTAGAATAAGCAGCACACTGATGATTTGTTGGGGAGCAGAAAGTTACTGAAGTGGTTGGCCAAAATTCTGTAGTTGGCTTCAGCTGCAGCAGGGTTCTAGCCCTGATTTGAGGTGCATGCTGCTTTCAGATATTGTGAACCTTCTGAAGATTAGAAGTGAGGTGAAATCAAAATCTTATTTTTAGCTCTCAGGGATGCTCATGACTTAACACTTAAGGTTAGATAGATTTTTCAAATACAAGAAAAGCCCTTTGCACTGTGTCAGTTCTGCCTGTCTTCTGTGAAGCTGCAGCCTTTTTGTAGTTCATAAACTAGCTGTGAAGAGTAGCATATACGTATGTGTGTATGTATATATACGCATTTTTCTTTATACTTAAAACCTGAACAAATACCTGAAGGAATAAGATATCATCAGCCAATCAAAATAAAAGTAGAATTTAGGGTTTAATGCATGGCAAACAATGTAATTGAGGAGGCTTCAGGCAAGGTAATGGAGAACAAAAAGCACATGGGAGAGAGGTGGGGGGAGGAAGAAGCTGGTGGATGTCACATTTCCAATGCTTGATTCTATTCAGAAATACCTGTCAATGTGCAGCTGATCACTGCAAAACTGGGGGAGAAGCTGTGATCAGAGGGATGCTTTGGCTTGTGTGCCACTCCACTGTAAATTAGCTTTGCATTCCTATTCCCAATCGTTGCTAAAATAAGTTACGCATAAGAACTAGTTTTGAACTTACGGGATTGTGAAACCTCAAGTGAGCTTTTTTCCCCCAACCCTTTCCATTGGCTTGAGGGATAAATTCATATGATATTGTAGGATATTGTGTCATCTTTATTGCAGAAACACAGTGTTCATTCTGGACACAAATTTCAGGTTGAAAAATGTACCTGGGGCTGTCATAATGGTCCTCAGTGAAAAGGCAAATAAGCTATTAATGGTATACACGAGTTATCTGTCAGCAAATAAAGAACTGAATACATATGAAGAAAAACCAAATGCTAATAACAGGGTGTAATATAGTTACAGTTGGGAAGCAGAGAGAGATCAAAAGGTTTCTGGTTTTCAGACCTCTCTGTGAACTTCTACTGCACAATCCTAGAAACCAAACAAATCCTGGCTATTTTTTATTATTATTATTTATTCTAGATTAGCTTTGCTTAGAAACTATAATGAGATGCTGATTTCAGCGCATTGATCTTATATTTCTGGAGTCTGCATTAGGTTCTGGTCCTTGAAAGAATTCTGTTAGAGTTTATGGGGCACACAATCCCTTAATTCAGCCCTGTATGTTGGTCTGACGGAAGCGTGTACCACAGGCTGATTTCATTGGTTCGCTCTCACTCTTTAGTCTATTAAAACTATTTGCCCTGTAAGAACTGAATGGGAACATTTCCCCTGAGCTCAGACTGTTTCAAAGACACTCTGTTCGGATCATTTGCCGCTTTGGTGAGCGCTGTTTTCAAAATCTGAAGTGTCAGCAAATATTTCATTATTAAATGATGCCTCTCTTTAGTAATTTTTCATTTCTTTTTTTGAAGATGGACAGTAGGAAAACAGATGACCAAAACTGATCTGTACTGAAAGCAAGACTCTACATTGCATGCTGACTGGGGGGAAAATACACTTGCTGGCTTGCTAAAATGAGATAATAGTTTGGATGTTGACAGACAAAAACAATTAGAGCTGTTGGATGCTTTGCTGACGTGTGCATTGTCACATGGAGAGGTGGCTTGGTTGGTGCCAGTAAATCTGAACTGTTCAACTCTCAGCAAGATATTAAGTTAATTAATAAAATTCCTTATGGCTGTGCTTGGAATGTGAGGTCTGTTTATTTGTGAAGACAGCTTGTCCAGGAACAAACAACAGAGGTCACTGAGGGGGCCCATTAGGTGTTTCCTCAGACTCTGTGCTATTACAGGCTAGTAAAAGACTTTCTTCTGCTTTATTTCTTGGTACATTAAAACAGTGTTACGTGACTGAAGTGTTTCTGTATTTGTACGCACAATGTATTTGTAAGCTTGTGCGGATAATAGTTTTCTGTAAAGTATTTAATTAAACATTGGAAAATGTTTTATTAAAACTCTTTGACCTCTTTGGGCTTTTAGGTGCTTACTCATGTTTCAGAAGACTCAATTTCTCTATACACTATATTCTTAATGCCTATCACTTTTTTTCTTGATTAATTATACAAGCACGTTTGAAGTCTGGTTTTACATATGCATTTGAACTTACTTATGTTTCGTTTTCTGAATGGGTATGTTTGGACAGGAAGTTTGGGCTGTGTGTGCTGAACTGACTTCATAGCAGCCTTGCTTAGTGCTCCTCCACTAAAGCTTGTTCTCCCCATGTGGTGTGACCGCTCTGGCTCTAATGGACTTTGGGGTGTTCTGCTGCTGACTGCCACAGCTTGCCAGGGACAGATCTGTGTTTCTTCTGGATCATGTGTCAATATTTGTCAGCTGTTCAATGAAGCATTTGGTTGTAGAAGGGAAATAATCTTTTCACTCTAGTTTGAGGCCTGCACCAATACATCTTTTCGATGCAGAAAGAGATGTTCACTTCACCAGCAGGAAGCAGCTCTGATTAGACTGTAAACATGTACTGTACTAAGGATTTGCTTAGTTTTTCCTGCTCCATTTCTGCCTTCATGTGCAGAATCTGTTAAATCCATCAGAATCATCAGATTCCATGTTTCTTGTGTAACCCTACCCTGCTTGCCTTTACTAATCTCCACTAAATAGCTTTCAGATTTCTTTTACTTTATTCCTGTGTTATCCATTTTTCCTTGTACTTAATTTTTCAAAAGTATTGTCTTTAGTTTTATAATTTTATCCACGTTGGGTTACTTGAATACATGAGCTGCTTTTTTAACTTATTGTCATGATTTATTTTTCCTCTATCTGCTTAAATATCTCTGCTATCTCATTAGGGGCCAGTTTTGTTTGGTGGGTTTTCATGTTGGGTTTGTTTGTTTTTAAGGAATAATCATTATTGGTGGTTTATTTTTTGTTTCAACTGGGGGGGGGGTGTGTGTATATTTTTAAGAAGACAATTCTTGGGAGGTTATACTTTGAAATATTTGAAATTCAGCATCTCAGCAGTTCTGGTTAGAAATGAACTTTTGTGAGCCATGATGCCGGTGGATCTGCTTATGCAGAAGAAAAACAGCTCTTGGGAAAAGCTGAGCTCATAGCAGACCCACTGGAGTTGACATCAGTAATTAATCTAGAAGCTAGCATTAGATGAACCTTGATTGGGTAAACTTGACTGTTGGTAACAAGATAGCAGAGGGCATATGGCTGCTTGTTGCGTCCTAATCTAGCTCTCTAGGTTTGTAACTTTATTTCTGTGCTTGAAAGTTTTTCTGGTATTCCGGTGCAGGAGACTTTTGGACTCACAGGATTTCTTTGTATGAGAAAAACCAACCTTCTGACCTTACCCCCCAGCCCCCATTTACAGACTTGAGGAATTTTTCTATTTTAAAGTTAAATTGGGAGCTGGCAAACTGTATTAGCTGCTATGACTGCTGTTATTTCAGCAAAGGCTATAGAACTATACTCAAAAGCAAGAACCGACTAGACTAGATGGTATGGCTTGTTTTATTTAGTATTGCAGTGCCTGTGGAGGAACCTCAGATAACATTAGTCAGTGTGTCTCCTTACAGAACCAGCACAGTGTTAGCAGGGTTAAACCACCTCTGCAACACTTCTCCTGATGCATCTCCATGTTTTAGCGAAAGAGAGAAGCAATCTGCCTGATGGCTTTACTTTCTGGCCTTTCCAGCATTGAGACTAAATGCATATTGGGACTAGGAGCCTTCAGCTGCTTCTGTATGCAGAGCAAGGTTGGACTGTAGTTGAAAATGTTTCCCCCTTGGTTTTTTGTGCCACCACCTGCTAGTAATTACTGAACAAACACTGAAAGCATCTATAACCAGTCCCTTGAGACATCCAGGCAATATATAAAGAAAGAGGGATACCTGTTGCTGGAAACTGTTATGAGTTTATTCTGGAATTGTTTATTTATGTTGCTGGAAACTGTTATGTTTACTCTGGAATTGTTTATTTGTGCTTTTTTTGTAATGACTTTTAGTATTTTAGGAAATAAACTGTAATGGAACTTCTGGTATGTCTACAGAATGGCTAAACATTGCTAAAGCATGGGATGTTTGGTTGGTGTTAGTATTTTTAAAGAAAGGCCGCTGTGTTGCTTCTTCTGTCCAGTAAATGTTAAGGTGAATTTGTTAACTTTTAAAACTGGTAATGCCTCACTATAAACACCAGGATCTTTCTCTCTTGTAGCTGCTGAGAGAAGTCTGCGGCATTACCTCTAGTACAGCTGCAACTATGACTTGACTCATTTGCATTCATGGCTCTTGGATGATCTAGTGAACCATGGAGCTCAAAGTATGGGTGGATGGAGTCCAGAGAATCGTGTGTGGGGTCACTGAAGTCACAACATGCCAGGAAGTTGTAATAGCCCTTGCTCAGGCTATTGGTAAGTAACTGTCAGGTGGGTGTCTGGGAACGGGGGTGGGAAGTTTGTTTTACGAAGCCAAACCAAGGGAAGGTGGGGTTGCACTGAATATCAGTAGAACATGAGATAACCTTGCAGTGTAAACTTGCAGCATTTGATTTTCAACCTGACAGAGATTAAAAAGGAAGAAAAGAAACACTTTGAAATCTGTAAACTTTTCATTTAGTACAGATTTATTCTCTGGATAATAATACGCTGTCATTCGTCATTGTAAATACTGCCTGTACTGCAGGAGGAGCTAAGCTGTCAATGTTTTGACTACCAAAGTAGTATAAAAGCAGTGTAAAATAATAGCTAAAAAAAAATGGCTTTTCACAAGCTAATGATGTTCATTGAAATTATACGCATTGTAGCTATATTGGGAACAGTGTAAATCAATTAAATAGATTGTTCAAGTTCTTCTCTTACTCCTGAACCTCGCATAACTCAGTACTAATGAAAGGGTAACTTGAAGTCTGCTCAGCGTTAGCTATTTGCTAAACACTTTAGTGGGGAAAAAAAACCCAACCAAATTTAAAGATCTTTATGGCTCCTTCAGGCTTGTCAGATCTCAGTGATTGAGAGCATCCTGAATAAGCCTCAACTTCATTCCTTCAGTGCTTGATATGCTGAATCTTATTCTTTGCTAAAATGTTATAATTGACTTCACATACTATTCAAATTTATGTGTTAAAACATATGTCTTTCCTAAAATTAAATTGATAAATGAAGAGCTTGCTTTTGCAGCTTTCACTATTGCAACAGTTTTGCAAGATTGTGTTAGCGGTCTAACTCAATTGCAAAATAATGATTTTTCTAATAAAAACCAACCTGGGGCCATGAATGACAACTAGATATTGTACCTGTAAGCATGAAGTCTGTTTCTCTGAATTTGTGATGCTTATTTAAGTGTGCACTTCTGAACGTTATTTCCATATACATTCATCTGATGGAGTAGAAGGCTGGCACTTTTTTGGTTAGTATCTTCAGGGGATGGAGCATAATGTTAGCATGTGTACTCTATCTATGCCCATCAAATACCTTTTAAAGTTTCATTTAAAGAAAGTCACTATGTCTCAAATCTTGTATTTAATGGTTAACCGATAAGTATGCTTTTACTGTTTGTGTTAGCTGCAGCTCTTCATTTAATGCTAATTAGTTTATGAATTGCTTGCTTCCATATCTCATTTTCTGCCTATAGGTCTTTCAAGGCACAATTATGGTATCATGATAAGTTCCTAGTACTGATTAAGAAGTGTTACATAGAGAAACTGAACTGGTTGTGGTAGACTTCTGGTTTTTTACTTTGTTTTCAGTCTCTTTCATCTTATTTCCTTTCCTTTCTCTCACAAAACAAAAAAATGCTAAACTCCAAGTTCTAGACAGTAATTTAATATTCTTCTATGTAACTTCTCTCTGTTTTTAATGTATCCTCATTTATTATCCTCAGCTCTGAAAAGACTCCATCAGCCTTGGAAATGCTTACAGTTTTTCTCAACTCATCAGACTTCCATTTCTGTAACACGTCACCAGTTATCTGAGGCATGTGACTGGTTCCACATGGAGATAAATTTCAGTTGCAACTAGAGCCAAATTAAGATAACTTTGGAAACTCATTCCTAAGGGAAATACCTCTTTAGAAAACACCTCTGGTAATGGTGCTCCAGTTTCTTACTGGGGCAGCTAGGACAGTATTAAACACTATATAAATAACACTTGCATGTCTGGCAGATAGCACTTTCCGAACTCCTCTGTCAGGTTATTCATCAAAAAAGCAACCATATGTCTGCTCCTTTGATTTGGCTATAGGTACCAGCTTACCAAGAATAATTGTCACTAGAATTTGAATGGGAATCTATTAAAATGTATCCCTGTAGCTCTTACCTGACATTTGGTGGTGGAAAGGAGCCAGTCTGAGTTGGCTTCCTCCTCAGTTGGCTCTGATCTTATTTTCCACTTTGCAGTCTGGCTCCTTCAGCAGTCTCATAGCTTAGCGGGACTCAGTATTATTTTGTCTGTCTGTTGGTCTGTCTGTAAAGTTTTTGAGATGCTCCTTTTGTTTTACCGTGTCTCTCAGTTTATTGCTAGATCTTTGACTTAAAAAGTACAGCACACACATACGGTGTGGTCGTCTTCACTGAGCCTGAAATATGAACTGCAATAGATATATTACTTGTGTTGAAGTGCAGTGTCTGGAATATCTGCAAATTAATGTGTTTTACAGCTGTATCCACTGAAGAAAGCACAAGCCAAAGATACTTGGAATAAGACATCCATGGTTCAAGAAGCTTCTCATGGATAAACTGAAGCTGCCTTTATTCTAGAGCTGCGAAAAGTAAAGCTTTACAATGTATTTCAGAAATAGGAAAATCAAATGTTTATCGAATGGTCTGTGGTTGGAAGGCACCTCTGAACATCATCTAGTCCAACTCTGCTGCTTAAAGCAGGGTCAGCTAGAGAGTGTTGCTCAGGGCCAAATGCAGTCAGGGTTTGAATATAGCCAGGCATAGAGACTCCACTACCTCTGTGGGCCGTCTGTTCCAGTGTTCAGCCATCTTCACAGTAAGAGTGGTTTTTCCTTATGCTTAAACGGAATCTCTTGTATTTCAAGAAATTTGCTGTCACTTGATCAAACGCAGTGCCGTGTCTCCTGATTTCCCACTGTGATAAGAGCAACAAAAAGGTTTCCATCTATGTACTTTCCAGCTTTTTTTTTTTTCTTTTTAATGCAGAGACAGGAACTTATGTTCTAGGGCCGTTTTAGCCAAGCAAAAATAGCAAGTCATACTGGGCTGCACCCCTTTTGTAGGAGCTTCTGCTCCATACCCAAAGTATAGTCTGATCCTTCGGCAACGAAGTTCTGTCACTTTAACTTGCCTGGCTAATGCTCCTTGACCTATTCCTTACAGATAGCGTCTGCCACCATTACTCTTCCAGTGGAAAGGCCTTCTTGTCTCTCTTCCTTTGGAGCTGTACACCTGATAGGTAACATTTGTGTTACCTGTTCTTGCACTTGGGTCTCCTTTTCCTGTTGCCCATCTCTTGATCATTTTACAGAAAGGAAATAATTTTACTCCAGGTTTATGTACAAATTAGGTTTTTTTTTAATTGCCATTTGGCTTGAAGTTAAAGGGTTTCAATTCAATCTTAAATAAACCTCATTCATTAAAACAAAAAAGGAGACTTGTCTCCTTTGGCTATCCCAACAAATCTTATTTTAAAAATACATGCATATAATTAAAAAATGTGAGAGAGAATAATATCAATTGAATATAACTTTGGATACTGTAATTGATTGTGTCTAACTTGGAAAAGCCTTAGCTGGAGGGGGGGGGTCCCTGAAATTCTTCTCAAGACAGACATAAAACTACCCAGTTACAGGTTTCAAAAGAGTGAAGTCACCTCCCACTGGGGTCTTGAAGAACACTTAATATTACCTTTTATGAGTTTTATCCAGGGCTGACTTTTAAAAACAAACAAACAAGCAAAGACCCACCCTCAAGCTGTTCACAGATTACAAAATGTAGGATTTAGCCTTAAAATACAAATAAGAAAAGTGCTCATTTCATCATGGGAAACTGAGTCCTCACCAAAAAGTAAAAATATACCACAGCTTACAATTTAAATGGAGAGCCATGAGTCTTGTTTTAAAACCATTTTTGCCAGGAGAGATAAGCTAGATTTTATCCCATTCATTATTGTCTATTTTAAAAACATTTGGCAGCAAATTCTGCTTGTTCTTCTGTGTCAACTAGCTTCTCTGTGCATTCTGTGAAAATCATGGCAGAATGGCTTCATACAAACATTGCCTTCTCATTTGGATTCCTCTTCTTAATCTGAGCAACTTGAAAAACAAGTGAAACAAAAGGTATTGATAATTTTCAACTGTATACATGGTGAGATGGTTGGTGGATCCATAGTCTGTTTTGCTAAGTAGTATATGGGCTTATAGAATCACAGAATGGTTTGGGTTAGAAGCAGCTTTAAAGCTCATCCAGTTCCAACCCCCCCGCCTTGGGCAGGGGCATCTTCTCCTAGACCAGATTGCTCAAAGCCCCTTCCAACCCGGCTTTGAACACTGCCAGGGATGGGGCAGCCACAGCTTCTCTGGGCAACCAGTGCCTGTGCCTCACCACCCTCATGGTGAAGTATTTCTTCTGTTGTAGTCAAGTGTATGTGAGCATAGTGGCTCCTCTCAAAAAATCATTGTAATACTGAGGGGGAAAACCAGGCAGTATCCTAGAAGAGGGTGAGTTCATTGCATTAGCTGATAGTTGAGGCAAATGTAGTTTATAGTTTGGTTTTTTTTTCAATTGGCTTTTACTGATTGTTTTCCATTCAAATCTAAAAAAAAATAAATAATCTTCCAAAGGGATATGGTGATGAATAGCACGGTTACAAATACACTTTCCCTGTTTCTTCAGAAGTGTTTTCCTCCCAGTTCCAGCCCCTGTGAAGATTTTTACTGCTCCTGTTGTGATTTCTTTTTCCCTCTGGAGACTAGAGTATGCCTCCTATTCTCAGAATGACATGGTTGTTTCCTAGAAAAAGAATATTTCAGTCTACAGATATGAAGCTTGAATTTCTTACCAAAGTGCACTTTTGCATTCTGCCCTCCTCTTAGTTTTCTGTGACAAATAATTAAAATGGCAGACTTGCTTTAAATAGTGCTGTGGATTTTGGTTTTCTGGCTGTAGCACAGTATCAGGAGAATATGAGCAACACTTCACTGAACAAGGAGTACAGCTGTCTCTTTTTAAAATTAAACAAATGCAGCTGTCAGTTTTTTTATTGCAGTTCAGTATTCTTCCTCAAAGACAAATGGGGTGAAATTTATGAAAATAAAGCACAGATTTGTTCATGCTTTTTCAGACATGCAATACAGCATTGTGAGGCTCAGCCAGAGTTGTATCTGGAAAAATCACACCACTTTATTGATGTCTCCTCTTATGTTCTTCCCTTCCTCCATATAACTTGCTAAA